GCAGCAGTTGTTTTTTGGATTTACCATCGACAAGTTTGACATCCGCTGCAGGAGCATCGACGGACAGATGCTGTTTGACCGACTGAATCGACGGAAGATTCGAGTAGGCATTTCAGGAATTTCGCTGGTGTTCGCGATAGTTGAAGACGTGTTTAGTTTAACCGACTTAGGCGATGTCGACTACGGTTACTGAACTGATTATGTTTCATCCATGTGCTGATGGAATTCGTTGACTTTCGTGAGACACGGACGCGTGTTCTCGTATGTGTCGCGAATGACCTCGCACTTGACTAACGGCTGGAGTTCGTGATTTTGCGAATTACGGACGCGTGTTTCTGCGAGTGTCACGACTCACGTGGGATTAAACGAGGAACGATCTACAGTTACTGAGCTACGGACAAGTTTGGCGCTATGCAGAAGATTCGGCTCGCCAACTTGCAGCAGTGTGAATATCGTAGTGCTACTGTGCGGATACATTACACGACGACGGGGTTTGTAATTCATGGCGAAGACTCGCTGGAGACAGGGAAGCTGTGGTGCGGTAGTATCCCTACTGCCCGTTTGGTTATCTGGGCAATTCGACGAAGATTCGACGGTTACGATCGACCGCGATCGTTTCGACGTGTTTCGACCGTTGGATCGAGTTTCCTTGAAGAAGCTCGAGATTCTCAACATTGGTGGCTTCACTACTACGAGATTCAGTTAGACTGTGTGTAGTTTTATTTATTTGTGTGCTTATCTAGAAGGGGGAGAGTGTAAGGAATGAGTAATTCCTTACTGAGGCTTGCTACAAGGGTTACGACTCGAACAGTCCCGAACCATCGATAGGGTTCCAAACCTTTCAGTTCGAGCCTCCTTGGCCTTTCCGGACTTCGCTACGACACATCGAGGCCCTTGGATACTTTCCCGAACCTTATGATCTTACGTCCAGGATCACCCTAGGCTTTCTATATATTGTATTGTCTTTCATTTTTTGTCATTCGCTCGTTCACAGTTTCGCCATTGCCCTCCGCGCTACTCGGCAGACCCATTCATAACAAGCTGGGCATGTGTATCATAAATTCCCTAGTCAGCCACTCATCACTGCAGAAAGCTGGTTGACGAAATACCTTGCGAAACGATCGGGATCGTTGACTAGCAGCCTCATTTTGTTCGCCACGCATCTACCACGCTCGCCAACAAGCACCCAAGCAGAGCAAGGGGTTGTGCCTGTGCGCTGTGCACAGTGGGCGAGTGGATAAGGATCCGCCAGTGGTGCCAACCCCCGCCAGTAGGGGGGGGTCGACGGGGGCCTATGGGGACAGACTCTAGAGAACCTAGTAGGTTCGCAACTTCGCGTCGCCTTTAGTATCACACTGGCGCACTGCACCGCCTCAGTTCGCGCTGCCACCCTCCACGAGCGTGCGCTGGCTGCTACCTAGTGCAGGCTGCAACTAGCGGCGCTTCTGGGTGGAAACACGGCCCAGCAGCTTGCTTGTCATAGCAGCTTTCCGCGCTTGGCGCCACGGCTGTCGATTGGCATACCCTAGGGCTGTTGATTGGCGCAACACTTGGCGTTCCAACGTTCGAGATCGAATCTTTCCGGGAGTTTTTTTCCGGAAAGGCCACTATCGTCCAGGTTTGGGCATGTCCAGGTTTGGGCATGTCCAGGTTTGGGGGGGGGAACATGAAGGAACGGGTTCCTAGGGAAAAAGCGGGGAGGGCCCAGACGGTTCAGGGCATTTGCCCTTCAATCGTCAGCGCTGCTTGGCGCTTGGCGCTTGGCGCTCCAGTCATCCAGCGAATCGGCAACTAATGCGACGCGTGTGACTTAGCGGCGCTGGACGAGCACTGCTGAGACTCTTCCTTTTGAAACTGGTTAGGGCCGAACCTTTTGCGCCAGTAGAGGGGCTTATTCGCAGCGGTAGCCATGGTTTCGGGGCCTTACTTGCAGCAGAACAGTGCTGTACCACTGCTGGCAGACGGAGCCCCACCCTTGGTCGTCGGATCGGAGGCGCAGCTCCCCCGCCATTTCCGTGGCGAAGTAGACGGAGTAGTCGGAGTAGACGGAATAGTCGGAGTAGACGGAGAAATCGGAGTAGACGGAGTAGACGGAGTAGTCGGAGAAGACGGAGTAGTCGTGCCATGCCATACCATGCCGAGCCGAGCCGAGCACGCTGGCAGCGTCTGCTGCGATGTACCATACCAATCGCAAACACCAGTTCTACTGTAGTACGGTGGTAGTACTGTATTATGCTCTGTTCCCCGGCAATATGCTTCCAGGGGAAGCTATCGCCGCAGAGCTTTCCCGCTCTGATGACCCTGACTAATGCGTCACCGGCGACTCGCAGAGTCTGAAGGAAGACGAACGCAGTCTGTGTTGTCGTTGTTCGGAAGAACGCCCCGAACGCGATCAAAGGAGAAAGAACTTGAAGGTCTTCCTCCCTTCAAGGTAGTGCCTACTACTGAGAGGTAGCTTATGTCAGAAGAAGAGGCTTTAGCGAACCCTAAAGCACTTCGAAGAGGCTTGAAGTCCGACGACCGTCGCATATTCGCGCTTTGGCCAGGCGCCCGTCGTTTCGCGTTACAAGTCCGAGCCACCCCAAGTTCGCGTTTCCTCATTGCAGCCACTACCACGAGCTGCCGTAGTAGCTCCTACTGGGAGGCGTGCCCGATGATGGATTCTCGTCAATGTCGCACCAATCCCCGGTTGCGGACCATGGTGGTTTGTCTGCTCGCGTCGCTTGTACTCGCCAAATGCAGCCCCCTTTCCGCTCAAGAAGGTCAGCGCCATGGTATAAAAGATATGCTTCGCGCTCTTGCATCCTACCGTTTTTAGGAAGCTCCTGCTAATTTGGCGCTTCGTTCTTTTGCAGCTGACCAATCAGGGATCGTCTTGGACTTCCCATCGCAAGAGGGCACCTCCCTGTACCCGGTAGCCGCTCAGCCGCCCACACCTGGAATCTCACCTGAAACTCCGCCTGAAACTCCGCCTGAAACGTCACCTGAAACGCCACCTGAGTGGACACCTGAAATTTCACCTGGGGCCGCTCCTGAAATGCCAGGAGAATCGTCTGCTGCTCCAAACTTCAAGATAGTGGAAAACGTGACTAAGATTCTGCCGATAACAACCCCCTACCCCACGTCTGACGTGTACATCGTCCGCCTCCGCGCCGCCCCGCCAATCGCGGGATACACGGGCGGAATCAACGGTATTCCCGCCACGGCAGCAAAGGCTGTCAGAGATTCGGCATCCGACGTCCTACATTCTGTGGTGGGCCGAATTCGCCAGACTCGTCGCCAAGCGAATCGCAAGTCGTCGCGACTGAATCTGAGGTCGCCAGCCGTCGCGCGGTTCAATAAGTGGCTGGGCCGGCTGCAGGACGGAGTTGCGGATGACGTGAAACTGCCGCGTGCGAATGTCCTGTACTCGTGAGTTTGTAACCATTAACGAGCTCAATATATGCGTACAACCTATATGTTTTTTCTAATTGCTTCCCTTAGGGTGTACCCAGATTCCTCCTCCACTTGTTCCTTCGTGTCTTTTCACACTCTGCCCTCTCTTCATCACCCTTTTTCCTGGCCCCTTCCTCCCCTCTTCTCCAGAATGAGACACGTCAGCAATGCCTTCGTGGCGCGTTTGACACCTAAGCAGCTGCAGCAGCTGAAGCGGCATCCAGCAGTGGCCGAAATCAAACCCAACTACCCAATCAGCAAGCTCACAACCAACTCTGCAAACTTTCTCAAGCTGCCTGAGACTCTCTGGTCTACCCGGGGACGCGACCGGGCAGGTGAAGGCGTGGTGGTGGGAATAATCGACACGGGTATTTGGCCCGAGCACCCGTCGTTCTCTTCAGATGTGGATTTGCTGTATCCTGACCCTCCGGCTACCTGGAAAGGCACCTGCCAGGTCACTGCTGACTTCCAGTGCAACAGAAAGGTGATTGGAGCAAGATATTTCAACGGTGGGTTTCGGGCGGCGTACGGGCAGGAGGACACGCTCACTGATTGGACGTCTCCTCGTGATGCGGACGGGCACGGCACCTGGTGTGCAGCGTAAGTGATTGACGTTCTCTCTTGCCCCACCCTTTCCGTAAGTAAGTAAGGTTAATTGGTACTATGGCTACTCGGTGAGGTGCGAGGTACAGGCAGGCAGCAAGACATGCAGGCTGACTGGGTGTCTCCTCGGGATACCGACCGGCACGGCACATGGTGTGCAGCGCAAGTGAGTCCGTGCTCTCTTGCCTCACCCTTTCTCTGAAAGTAAGTGAGATTCGGTGCTGTGGCATACGGGCAGGAAGGGAGGTGACTTTTGAGTCGACTCAAAATTCACTTCGGTGCTGTGGCATACGGGCAGGACGCACTGATTGGATGTCACCTCGTGATTGGATGTCACCTCGTGATGCGGATGGGCACGGCACCTGGTGTGCAGCGCAAGTGACTGTCGCTTTGCTTCGTGCAGCGTAAGTACTTGTCGCTTTGCTTAGTGCAGTGTAAGTAATTATCGCTTTGCTTAGTGCAGCGTAAGTACTTGTCGCTTTGCTTAGTGCAGTGTAAGTAATTATCGCTTTGCTTAGTGCGGCGTAAGTAGTTGGCGCTTTGCTTAGTGCAGCGTACTTGAGACTCATCAGCTCGAAGGCTCGTACTAAGTGAGGCGCAGCGCCCAACTCACTCTCACTCACCCTCGTTCTGCTTCTTCTTGTCTTCCCTCCACTGTCCCTCAAACCTGCAGAGCAGCAGCAGGCAACAGCAATGTGCCCATCATACTGTTCCCCCGAAAAACAAACCTCGGCAACATAACTGGCATGGCGCCCCGCGCCTTCCTCGCAGCCTACAAGGTCTTCTGGGGCAACGCCAAGTCAGCCGGAACCACTGCCACGTCTGCTGACGTGGAGGCAGCTGTCAACGCTGCTGTCGCTGACGGCGTCGATGTCATCTCCCTCTCCCTCGGCAGCGCAGACCCCAGCGCTACTTATTTCAGCGATCTGGCGTATTTATACGCGAATCTGGCCGGCACGGTGGTGGTGTATGCGTCGGGGAATTCCGGCCCGCCTCCTTTCAGCTGGTACATGTATCGGAGCATCTCCAACTTCTCGCCATTCTACCTGACTGTTGGCGCCAGGTGAGCTCCCAGGTGGTTTTCTGCTGGCGTCAGGTGAGCTCCCAGGTGGTTTTCTGTTGGCGCCAGGTGAGCTTTTTTTAAGCCCCTTCATATGCCTCCTTTCAGCTGGTACATGTATCGGAGCGTCTCGCCATTCGTCTACCTGACTGTTGGCGCCAGGTGAGGCTTCAGGTGCCTCCACCATCCGCTGTCCCACCCCCCCACTCTCCCAAGACTTCCATCACTCCCTCTGCCATCCACAACTTACAACTCAACTCCATTTCCCATTCCCCCCTCCCTTCTCTTCTGCACAGTACCATCGCCCGTCGCTACACGTCTGCGGCTATTCTGGGCGACGGCCGCATCGTGCCTCTCTTCGGCTTTGGCTCGGGGAATGTGGCGGTGCAGAGGCTGGGGTTGGTAGAGGGGGCTGCGGCACGGGCAGCCTGGAAGAGCGAAAGCAGGGTGAGATAGAGAGTGAGAGGGGTTGTGCAACCAGGGTGAGATGATGAGAGTGGGAGAATGAGAGTGAGAGGGGGCAGAGTGTGAGGAGGTAGAGAACCCTCTTTGGGGAATGTGGCGGTGCAGAGGCTGGGGTTGGTGGAGGGGGTTGCGGCACAGGCTGCATGGAAGAGCGAAATTAGGGTGAGTTGAGGGTGGGAGAAGGAGAGCGAGAGGAGGCAGAAAACCCGCTTTGCGGAATGTGGTGGTGCAGAGGTTTGGGTTGGTGCATAGCGCAAGCAGGGTGGCCATAGCAACATCTGCCTCATCCGCCTCCCTTCTTCTGCCCCATGCCCCTTTCGCTCCTTCCCCATCCTCCTCCCTTCTTCTGCCCCTTCCCCTCCTGCCCCATCCTTCGTCCTTTGTCCCTCACTCACTCCTCCTCCAGGCGCAGTATTGCACTGAGGGCTCACTAAACGCCACCAAGATCGCCGGCAAGATAGTTTTCTGCATGTCCGGTTCAACCAGCGCGGCCAGCAAGGCAGCCGAGGTGGCGAGTAAATCTCTGATTCTTCCTCCCCGTCACGTCTCCCTCCTCCAGGCGCAGTACTGCACCGAGGGCTCACTGAATGCCACCAAGGTCGCCGGCAAGATCGTCCTTTGCGCGTACGGATCCACCAGCACTGCTAGCAAGGCGGCTGAGGTGGCGAGTAAAGGCGGCAAGGCTATTATTGTGACTGACATGCCGGTGGAAGCCAGGCTGTTTCCACCGATATACGAAGTGCGGCTGCCGGTGATGGGAGCTGAGGCCGGTGCAACGAGTGTTCTGCGCAATCATACCCGCACCATGGCCAGGTGAGCACCATGGCGAGGTGAGCAGCATGGCCAGGTGAGCAGCATGGTCAGGGGAGCAGCATGGCCAGGTGAGCAGCATGGCCAGGTGAGCACCATGGCCAGGTGAGCAACATGGCCAGGTGAGCACCGTGGCCATGTGAGCACCATGGCCAGGTGAGCAGCATGGCCAGGTGAGCAGCATGGCCAGGTGAGCAGCATGGCCAGGTGAGCAGCATGGCCAGGTGAGCAGCATGGCCAGGTGAGCAGCATGGCCAGGTGAGCACCATGGCCAGGTGAGCACCATAGCCAGGTGAGCGGCATGGCCAGGTGAGCAGCATGGCCAGGTGAGCAGCATGGCCAGGTGAGCAGCATTTGTGGTGGATGCGCTGGTAGCAGGCAGGCTGCCTTTGACATATGAAGTGTGGCTGCCGGTGATGGGAGCTGAGACCAGTAAGACAAGCGTTCGGCACAATTATACCCGCACCATGACCAGGTGAGGAGCTTTTACAGTGGCCTACTGCTTGCATGTAGAGAGCGTCCTTCTGACCGACACCTGCACAATGGTCATGTAAGGGCTACAACACTTTATGCATTTATATATATTTATCAGCACTTCTTTTCCCTGCGGGTTTGCGTCATAACATTCTTGTTTTCCCGTCAGATTTGAACTTCTTGTCTTCGACTGCTGCGTACCCATCTTTCACGCCTCAAAAGTCTCTCCCTCCTCCTTTCCCTTCTCCCCTTCCCCTCTTCCCTTCTCCAGCCCTACTGCGTCCTTCGCATACAACTTCAAAACGGACATCAACACTGATCAAGCCCCCGACGTCGCTTCCTTCTCGTCCACCGGCCCAATCACCAACCCCGCTGCAGCACCCAGGCTATCCTTCCCTACCAACGACATCTTAAAGCCCGATATAATTGGCCCCGGCGTTTCGCTATGGGCCGCCGCACCAGCTTCTTCCCTCGCGTCTTCCTCTACTCCGACCTTCGCCATGCTGAGCGGAACCTCCATGGCTACACCGCACTTGGCAGGAGTCGCAGCATTGCTCGTCGAGAGATACCCTTCGTGGACCCCTTCACAAGTTATGTCGGCGATTATGACTACAGCGTATGTGACCAATAACAAACGAGGGCCGATTGTAATGGGTACGACGGGAGGGGCGGCGACGCCGTGGGATATGGGAGCGGGCCACGTCAATCCCAAGGGTCTCATGGACCCTGGGCTCACTTTTCCCACCAACGCTGCAGATTACTACAATTTTTTGGCCGGGCAGAATCTGGATTATGCGAAGACGGTTGCACCAATTGGGACGAAGCTGACCCCGATTCCGGCGTATAATCTGAACCGCCCGACGATTTCGGTCTCGCGGCTGAACAAGACGGTGCTGCTGACGCGATGGGTGCAAAATGTCGCGGATACAGTATCAAACTACACCGCATATATCGTTGCACCTCCTGGTGTTATCACACTTATAAATCCCCACAGGTTCACAATTCCTCCAATGGGGATAGTATCCTTTGCTCTTCGGTTCACGGTCGTAACGGCATCTCCTGATTTCCAGTTCGGAAGCCTGACTTGGAGGGATCAGTTTGGCCACGTGGTGCGGTCAGTGCTGGCTGTTCAGCCTCTCTATCAGTAAGGTTGGAAGGAGGAAGTCGGATTAGCCTGGTTAAGGAAGACGGAGACACAGCTGTCCACTTTGGCCAATGGCCACGTGGTGCGGTCTGTGTTGGCTGCTCAGCCTCTGTGCCAGTAAGGCGGGTGGAGCAGGGTCGGATCGGGGTACCTCTCTACTAGTAAGGCGGACAGAGAAGGGTGGATGAGTAGGTCAAGATGAAGATACGGCTGGCTGGCTGCCTGTGTGGTGCGGTCAGTGCTGGCAGTGCAGCCTCTGTACCAGTAAGGCGGGTGGAGAAAGCTCGGACTACCGTGGGTTGGAAGGTGAAGAGGAGAGGAGAGGAGAGAATAGGAGAGGAGAGGAGACGAGAGGGAACAGTGGCTGGCAAGAAAAGCTCAAGTGAGCGAGAAGCTGGTGGATGGCTCCTCTTTCAAGGTACTGTAGCTTCGTGTTTTAATAAAGAGCAGCAGGAAGTCCTCTGCTCTGCTCGGACTCATGGTATCACACCATGGTGCCAAATGGAGGTCATTGTGGTGGGGACGGGGCCTGGGCCGCATACCTTCTACTACCGTAACCGTACCCGTACGGCTGCATTGCAATGCCTCATGATGATGCAAGGCGAGGCGAGGCAGGCTAGCTAGATATGGCCTGAGTAAAGGACTCTTGGAGAAGAATTTGATTGTTTATGATCCATGATTGGCTATCATTCTCCAATTGCTTTCATTCCCTAAGCAGTTGTGGCTTGCTAGCAAACAGAGCCAAGGGTAATACAACTACTTGTCAACTTATACATATGTTGTATATGTAGCAGTTATAGGCTAGATGGGTACGTGCTCTTAGAGAGTACAACTCCCAACCATATAGCTCCCTTGTATCCCTTGTTTGAGTTCACTTCGTAATCCTAGCATGGCATCAGAGCACGTAGATCCTCTGACCCGCGCTTCCGCCCTAGCCTACTGTAGTGTGCCCAGCCGCACCGCACGTGCCGCGTCGCCGCGCCGCGCCGGCCCCTTAGCTCGCCACGCTGGCCCCTAGCCCGCCGGACTGGCTCCTAGCCCGCCGCGCTGGCCCCTCAGCTCGTCACGCTGGCCCTTAGCCTGCCGCACTGACTCCTAGCCCGCCGCGCTGGCCCCTCAGCTCGCCGCGCTGGCCCCTAGCTCGTCGCGCTGGCCCAGCTCGCCGCGCTGGCCCTAGATTGCTGCTCTGGCCTTAGCTCGCCACGCAGGCCCCTGCTCGTCGCATCGGCCCCAGCTCGCCGCGTCGGCTCCAGCTCGTCGCGCCGTCATAGCTCGCCGCGTCGGCCCCAGCTCGCCGCGCTGCCCCAGCTCGCCGCGTCGGCCCCAGCTCGCCGCGCCGGCCCCAGCTCGCCGCGTCGGCCCCAGCTCGCCGCGCCGTCACAGCTCGCCGCGTCGGCCCCAGCTAGCCGCGTCGGAACCAGCTCGTCGCACCAGCCTCAGCTCGCTGCGCTGGCCCCAGCTCGCCACGTTGGCCCCAGCTCGCCGCACCGTCCCAGCTCGCCGCGTCGGCCCCAGCTAGCCGCGTTGGCCCCAGCTAGCCGCGTCGACCCCAGCTCGCCGCGCCGCCCCAGCTCGCCGCGTCAGCCCCAGCTCGTCGCGCCGTCCTAGCTCACGGCGCCGGCCCCTGCCAGCTGCGCTAGACCCCTACTCGCTACCGGCCCCAGCTCGCCGCCGGCCCTGGTGTCTCCCCTGTGCCGGCGCCCTCGCCGGCCGTCTGCTCTCCCGCGTCTTCACCGCACTCCACCGCACTCCATCGTACTCCACCGCTCTTGACCGCTCTCCACCGCACTCCACCATACCCGCTTGCTCCCTACTCCTCATCCTCCTGAGTCCTACAGATATTGCCGCTGTGCGTGATGGCAGACGCCGTTCTCCGCTTGGATGCAGAGGGTCATGCGGTGGATTTTGAGGCGTGGCTCGCCGACGTGCGCCGCAACTTGAAGGGTCAGTGCCAGGATGGCCAGTCTCTAGCCGTCCACGGTAAGCTACCCTGCCCCCCCTCGTGCTTGCTACCGTAGATGACGCCCGCCTGCTGAGCATAAGGCTTATACAGCTACTGAGCTCGCCCGCTCTGTCTGGGAGTCGTGTGATGCCACTGCGCAACTAGCTATCAGTTTCGCTCTCCCACTATCCGAGCGTCCCCACTTTCAGGCCCTAGAGACGGCCAAGCAGTACCTAGCCGATATTATTGCTTGCTATTCCACTCCCTCCTCTGCCTCTGCTGGTTGCCTCCTCCTGCCCCTGCTCTTTCCTGATCCCGCGCCCTTTCCCACTGTCGCAAATCTTGTCACTCACTTGCGTGCGCTTGAGACTAGCTACCGCGCTGCTAGAACTGAGGCTCAACTCACTGTAATTTCTCCCTCCCTCGACGCTATGCTTTATTTCCTAGCCACACGCCTCCCTGACCGCCTAGCCACTGCCCGTGACACCTTCCTTAACCTCCACCCCACTGACCTCACCCTTAGCGACTTCGTCGCCACCTTGTCTGCGATAGAGACCCGCCAGCGCACTATTGCCCAGTCTAACGATACTGCGGCAGTCCCTATCTTCCAGGGCTGTCCCCTCTCCCAGTGCACTTACTCTGACGTTTCCGTTGCTGTCGTTGAGACCGCCGCAGCGGCCTCTGCGCATCCTCGTCAGGGTAAGGGCCGTTGCCCCAGAGGGGGGCACGGGGGAGGGAGAGGTGGCGGGGGTGGCGGAGGCGGTGGAGGTGGTACTAGCACAAGAGGTGCTGACGAAAGGGTGGGAGCTGACACCCCAGAGCAGCAGCCGCAGCAGCAGCAGCACCACCCGCAGTAGCAGCAGTGGGAGGCCCCGCCGCCGTGGTGGCCCGGAGGCTTTAGTGGTGGTGGCCGCGGAGGCGGCCCTCACAGCTCGACGTCGAGTGGTGGCTCCAGCCCTGTGAGTTGCCAGTACCAGCTTCAAACAGGTCCCCTTTGTGGCACTGAATGTGACCGTCCCGGTCACAATGCTTCCCGCTACTACCGCCGCCTCAATGACCTCTTCCGTCTCCGCTTCGGGCTCACGCCGTCCCTCCCTGACTAACACAACCCGGTACGTTGTTGTTTGCCGGTCTTTGAGTTAGACATGGATCAGATTCGCTTTGCTATATATGCCATGTATCCTGTTGACTCTAGTGTGACGGGACCTTATTACCTTGTATTGTCTAGCCTAGGTGTGCTTGCTGTGTGTAGTGTAGGCTCCCCTGCTGCGTTACGCGTAGGATCTCCTGCCTTGTTTAGCCTCGGTTCCCTGGACACGAGCAGTATGCCGAGGCCGCCACTAGTGCCCCCCTCACCACGTTCCCCCGAGACCCGGTGTCTGGCTTGTTCACGTTGGATACCGCGTCCCCCTCAGAGAGGGTGTCCCCTCAGGTGGTTGCGTCTATCCAAGTCGTTGCGGCTTGCTCATGTCAATCGCTCACTCACCCGTCGTTACTGTGGCACCACCGTCTAGGTCACCCCGCTCTCCCATGTCTCTATCACATGTCCGAGCACGGTCTTGTCTTAGGTCTCCCTATATCGCTCCCTGCCCTCCCTCCCTCGCCTGCGCCTCCGTTCATGCCTTGCGTCCAGGGCTGGCTGCGCCGTGCTCCTCACTCCTCCTCGTTTCCTCCCACCACTGCGCCACTCCAGACCCTGCACTTCGACGTCTGGGCCCCAGCCCCCGTCCTAAGCCGCGACGTGAGCGTTACTTTCTAGTGCTCGTAGACGACTACAAGCGCTACACCACAGTGTTTCCTCTGGAGCAAAAGGCCGACGTACCTGAAGTTCTTATCCCGTGGCTTGTAGCTATGCGTGTCCACCGCGCCTTGCCAGTGTTCTGTCTCCACTTCGACTGTGGCTGTGAGTTCGCATCTGGTCGGCTTGGCCAGTTCTGTCGTGCGGAGAGCATCACCCAGTCGTACACACTGCCGGACTCCCCGTAGCAGAATGGGGTCGCTGAGCGGTGCATCGGTTTGGTCATGAAGGTGGCTCGTACCTCCATGATTCATAACGGTGCACCCCATTTTCTATGGCATTTTGCCGTGCGCTACGTCGCTAACCAGCTTAAGCTATGGCCACACTCCCACCAGCCACAGGTTTTGCCGACCCTTCTTTGGACCGGGTCCCGTGGTAACGTGCCTGTGTTTCACGTTTGGGGGTTCCTCGCTCACGTCGGCGACTCTCGCGTGAACAAGCTTGTTAGCGACGTAGCGCATGCAGTGTCAATCTTGGCTTGCCCTTGAATGTGTCTGACTGGCACTTCTACCACCCGCCATCTCACCGCTTCTTTCACTCGCGTGACGTCACTTTCGACGAGTCTATGTCCTTCTACACCCGCTTTCTCCACCAAGGTCTCCCGGATACACCGCCCATGTTCCTTGTCCCCACTCCCCTGGTAGCTCCCGTTCCCCGTCTGGTGTGTCTCACGTCACTGCCCTTCCCTTGGTTTGCCCGGCGGAGGAGTCTACTGACTCTTGGGGCCCTGAGGCTCAGGGCCCGACGCCTGCTGTTGCGGTGCCTGCCCCCTTGGCCCCGATGTCTCCTCCGCCACCGCAGCAGCTGCAGTTGCCGCTGCAGCCATAGTCGCAGCCACCGTCGCCGCAGCAGTAGCAAGGGTCAGTTGGCTCTGGGGGTGTTGGCTCTTTGGGTGTTGGTTCTAAGGGGGGTGCTCGTATTGGGGGTGCTAGTCCTGTGGGTGCTGTCGTGGCAAGTCCTGGCAGTCCTGGGGGTGGCGCAGGTGCTAGAGAGGGTTCTATTTCTGAGGGTGGTGGTCCTGAGGGTGCTGTAGAGGTGAGTACTGGGGATAGCCGCAGTAAGGGTGGAGATCGTGGCTTGGGCACGGAGCAGCCGAAGCAGCCGTAGTCATTGACGCTCTCTACCCTTCGCCTTCTCGGTCTTCCCTCACCCGACCGACCGCCTACGCCTCCCCCAGCACCGCCTCCTCCTTTCTATGGTCTTGTGTTCCCTCCGCCGAACTCTTCCCCGACTCGCTTCCCCCTTGTTCTCCTCCTGTGTCTCCTCCATTGTCTCCTGGCCCTACCCCTTCATCTTGTTGGTGGTCTCACCGCCCCTCTCGTGCTCGTCCCGTCTCTCCCACTCAGAGTGTGAACCCTATATCCCTCCATTCTCATGCGTCTCCTACTCCTCCCCCTCCTCTCCTCGCGTCGCCTCCTCAGTTGTCCCTCGCTTTCTCCCAAACTCCTTTCTCTCACTTCCTCCGTGCTGCTCGCCCTCTTGTTCTCCGTGTCCTCGCCTCTCTTGTTACTGACACGTCCATCCCTGTCTCCAGTCTCAACGCCCTTGTCGCTACCGTCGCTGAATTTGCCTCTACCCACCGCCTTGAGTATGCTCCATTCCCTACATCTCTGGTCTCCGACCCTGTCCGTCCTCAGTCCGCCGGGGGTGCACTTGCCCTTGGCAGTGACGTCCTAGAGGACAGGCAGTACGAGCTAGCTTTCCTATCCGAGACCGCTCCTCATTTCTGCTCCATGCTACTAGCCCCTGAGGGTGATCCAGATGCTCTTGACATCTCGACCCCTCACACTTACGCTGAGGCGACTTCGCGTTCCTGGGCCTCTCGGTGAATAGCTGCCATGGAAGCAGAGATGGCATCTTGGAGATCCACCAGCACCTACGTCGATGCATTTACCCCACCTGGGGCGATCGTAGTCGATGGTCGGTGGCTCTTCAAGGTGAAGCGCCCTCCTAGAGAGCCGCCTTTGTTCAAGGTGCGCTACGTTGCTAGAGGCTTCAGCCAGTGCGATGGTGTTGACTTCCTTCAGACCTTCACCCTGATCCCGAAGATGACCACTCTTTGGGTGTTGCTTTACATAGCAGCACAGCACGACTACAAGATTCACTCACTGGACTTCTCCAAAGTGTTTCTCCAGGGCAGTCTGCACCAGCAGATCTACTTGTGCCATCCCCCAGGCTTCTCTGACACTTTTCCTCCTAGGACCCAGTGGCTCCTCCGACTCCCGGTTTACGTTCTACGGCAGGCGCCTTGTGAATGGCATGACACACTGCGTGCTACACTAGCAGACCTTCAGTTCTTTCCATCCTCTGCTGACCCATCACTCTTCGTTCGCTCAGGCCAGAGTCCATTCTATATCCTAGTCTACGTAGATGACCTAGTCTTTGCTACTGCAGACAGAGACACACTGGCCTCGGTGAAGGCCGAATTGCTGAGGAGACACACCTGCACTAACCTAGGAGAGCTGTGCTGCTACCTTGGCTTGCAGATCTCCAGGGACAGAGCAGCGCGCACCATCACTCTCACACAGTCACACTTGGTGCACCAGGTCCTTCAAAAGTCCGGCCTTCAGTTCTCCTCCGCACAGCCCACCCCTCTGCCAGTGGATTACATGCTCTCGGCTCTAATCCCTGACAAGCCGGTTGAGCCCAGTGATCAGTACGCAGAGCTTGTGGGCTGCCTCATGTATCTGATGACTTGCACTCGTCTAGATATCGCGTACCCTCTTAGTCTCCTCGCTCGCTTTGTGTCGACAGGCAGCCACCGACCCCAGCACTTGTCGGCCGCTAAGAGGATGTTGCGTTATCTAACAAGTACATCGGGCATGGGGCTAGTGCTGGGAGGACGCAGGCTAGTGGCTCTCACCAGGCACATAGACTGTGAGAGTACGACCCCGTTACACCACTTGGCCTTTTCCCTATTTCCTTTTCCTTCCATTTCTCTCTACCGCATCTCATTTGGTTTCCTATTCTTCCTTTCCCATTAACCTTTGGTTTATCCTGCTATTATAATTATATCACCGACCAGGCATGGAATGTTCTAGACACGCTATCTAGCGTAATCCTGTCGTAATCTCTTAAAGCCAATAGCCTCGCGTGGCTATACGCATGGTGATTCTATTTTCTAGAAGGGTCTATTCCTTTAGATAGGATAAACCTGGTTACCTGATGTACTCTGGAAGTATAAAAGCGCCTTGTACTGATCGATAGTGCAATCGATCCTCGAGTCATTCGATCCTGTAACACTTGGTATCAGAGCTTTTCTCACTCGACCGCGCTCAGCTAAGCAGCAGCAGCGGGGATCCTGCCTCGAAAAACCGCCGGGGGCGACCAATTCGACGCCGATTCTGGTAAGCACCAGCTCCGCGATTTTCGAATTACCCCCTCCGTGCGTGTTTTGAACAGGATGGCAACCTTCGACAACGCCGAGGTTACCCAGCAGCTCTTCGCGCGCATCGCAGCCCTTCAGGAGGAAATGCGAGCGGATCGCGAAGCGTGGCGAAACCAGTTCGAGCGAGTAACTCGACTCGCCGGAGCGCAGCACGAGACGACAACGGCGACGACGCAGCAGTCGCAGCAATTTCTCGAGGCTCCGAAACCGCGCCCACCTGAGCCGTTCGATCCGAGCGATCGAAACTCCGACGCCCGCAGATGGATCGCCGGGATGGAGATCTACTTCGCAGCCGTCGGATGGAGCTCGCCAGCCTGGGACGGTCAACGCGTACGACTCGCGGCGACACTGATGCGAGGGCCGGCACTCGAGTGGATTGGCGGCAACAGTACTTTCATCCACGGTGAAGCCACGTGGCAGCAGTTCCGCGCCGACCTGCTGAAGCGATTCGAACCGATAAATTCGAGTTTTCTTGCCCGCGAAAAAATTCATCGCCATCGACAGTTCGGGAGTGTAGCACAGTACACGCAGCAGATGGAAGAATTTTATAACAGAATTCCCGACCTGACCGAAGGGGAAAAAGTACAATCGTACCTCGCCGGGCTGAAGACCGAAGTCAAACGACAAGTCGCAGCGTCAAACTACGCGAGCTACAGTGACGTCGTTTCGGCAGCGGAGCGCTTCGACATGGTCAACGCCGGAACACGACGGACGCACGTCGGCAGTACGCGACAGGGCGACCGCTCGGCTCACACCACGTTCGCCGACCCGATGGAAGTCGACAGATTCGAGGGGCGGCCACGTCCGAAAAACACCAACTACACGTGTGATTTTTGCGGGGTGCCGGGCCACCGAATCTTCGACTGCAACAAAATGAAGGCCGCACGCGCAGAGTATCGGGCACGCAACAGTGGCGGAAATCTTTCGGCCAATCAGAAGACAAAAAACGGGAGTCGCCAGTGATTGCGGATCTAGCTGGCGAAAATAAAAAGATCCGGAAACGGCCGCGGGATTCCGAGAAAATCAACTTCGACGAAGCTGATTCGACGCGAGCAGGAGGAAATGATGGGGGAAAATCTCCACCCCACGACCAGTCTTCGCCAGGGAAAATCGCCGAGGAAAAATACGACTCCGCGAAAAAAGACTCTGCCGAGACAGGGAAACTCCTTGAAGACCCAAGAAATTATAAGAATTCGTTAAAGTTATCTTACAAAGATGCTTTAATGAAAACTTATAATGTTCGAGGGGCTAGAGCCTTGGAGAAATTTCGGGAGGGACTCCAAAAGAAGCAGACAGCTGTGGAGATTATACCGGTACCGGACAACTTGGGGACCAAATTAAGGAGTGTGGAAAGAAGCCGACCTTTCCACGGAGTCAACGTCCTCTCCCGACACCAGCCCACAACGACTACCCGCTCCCCAGGGAAGACGTCGGTGGAGCTGAAGCAGCTCAAGAGGAAGCTGGGGGTCTACAAGAAGCTGCAAAAACCCCGAACTCCTCCTACGGATGCATCCAGTTCTTCGGCATCAACGACACGCACAGTCGTCAAGGAAACTCCGGGCCCTGGGGAAGAACCGTTCTCCAAGCAGCCTCGGCCAGCTGCTAGCTCAGGAGCAGATAGCAACGAAAAGGTGTGTACGGATTATTGGGATGTACCCTATGACCCCATTAATGAGACTATCTTTGGGTACTCTGAGGAACGCCCGCCTCTCGTGCTCGAGGTCATCTGCAAAGGACGACGCCTCCAAGCACTCGTGGACAGCGGAGCGTCTCACACCGTCTGCGACAAGGCAGCAATCGACCGACTTCGAGAAGAGTACAAGCCTTCGGGATTTTCTGCAACGATGGTGGATGGCAGCAAGTTACCAGTGCACGGCGAAGCAGTGTTACACCTACAAATTGGACCACTGCGCTGGAGACCGGCACTCCCCATCACCAACATCAAAGGGCTTGACTTGATCTTCGGGCGAGACTTCCTGAAAAGATTCAACCCCGAGATCAACTGGGTAAACCGCACCGCAAGCATCTACAACAATGGACGGAGAGTGCAGCTACCCAACTGGGACGATACAGGAGATATTCCAGTGGAGACACTCGCACGATTCGAGAAGGACGTTAAACGAACCGACACCGGGTTCCTGGCAATAGCGACAGAGGTGGAAGACGGCAAGGAGAAGATCTCGGAACCTCCAGAAAAAATCAAGGAATTGCTGAAGGAGTTCCAAGACATTCTTCCTGACGACCTACCGAACGAGCTACCGCCATACCGCACACATCAACATGAGATCGTGGAGGAACCAGGTTCGAAGCCGACCTTCCGAGCACCATATCGGCTAAGTCCTACGGAGCTGACCGACATGAAGAAACAAATCGAGTATCTCCTGGCCAAAGGACTCATCCGACCATCTACTTCACCGTACGGTGCCCCAGTACTCTTCACCCCGAAACCGGACGGAAGCCTGCGCATGTGCATCGACTACCGAGCTCTTAACAAGCAGACCATCAAGAATAAATATCCGATACCGCGAATCGATGACCTGCTTGACCAGCTTCGGGGAGCTACGGTATTTTCCAAACTGGATCTGCGGTCCGGATACTGGCAGATACGGATGGCGGACAACTCTATCCACAAAACTGCTTTCCGAACTCGGTACGGATCGTACGAGTATTTGGTCATGCCGTTCGGACTCACCAACGCACCGGCAACTTTCCAAGCCGAAATGAACCACATTCTACGACCACTTCTGGACGAGTGCGTGGTGGTGTACCTGGACGACATCCTCATCTACTCGCGCGACATGAAGCAACACGTCGAACACCTGCGACGCGTCTTCGAAATTCTTCGACGGGAACGATTCTACGTCAAACTGTCCAAGAGCGAATTCGCCCTGGAGAAGGTCCAATTTCTAGGCCACATGGTGAGCGCTCAAGGAGTTCACGTCGACCCCAAGAAAATCGAAGCCGTACGTACGTGGAAGACACCCGAGAACGTGAAGGAGTTGCAGCAGTTCCTAGGCTTCGCTAATTACTACAACAGGTTCGTGCCACAGTATGCGAAAATCGCAGCACCACTCACGAATCTGCTGAAGAAGAACACGCCCTACAAATGGGAGACGAAGCACCAGGAAGCCGTGGAGCAGCTGAAACAAGCACTGACATCCGCACCGGTGCTTATCTTGCCAGATCCCGAACGCGACTACGTAATCGAAGCTGACGCCAGCGACCAGGCAGTGGGAGCAGTTTTAATGCAAGACCAGGGGAATGGACTGCAACCAATCGCCTACCTCAGCAAGAAACTACACGGGGCAGAACTTAACTACCCGATACACGACAAAGAGGCTCTTGCCATTGTCATCGCCTTCAAAGCGTGGAGATGTTATCTCGAAGGACGCAGAACAACCGTCTACACCGACCACTGCAGCCTGAAATACTTGAAGACACAACCCAACCTTTCCAGGCGGCAGGTCCGGTGGATCGACTTCCTCGAGACGCACTTCCACTACGACATCGTGTACAAGCCCGGCCACAAGAACAAAGCAGACGCTCTCAGCCGGCCTGCACACGTTGCCGCTATTCAGGCTGAAGGGATGAATCCACTACTCAAGGGACTCTTCACACACGGGTACGCCATCGACCCCGAAATTCCCTTGGCAGAAAAAAGACACCTGCTACAGTGGGACAGTGACATCGCGTACCGGAAAGGATCTACAAAAATCTGGGTACCCAATTACCCTCCTTTGCGCCAGTTACTACTCGAAGAATACCACGACGTCCTGTACGCCGGACACTTCGGTAGCAACAAGACGCTCACCGGTATCGCCAAACACTACTACTGGCCCCATATGGCAGACGACGTCCAGAAATTCGTCACCTCGTGTGATACATGTCAGCGGATGAAGAGCAGCAAGCAGAAAAAGGCGGGACTACTGCAGCCTCTTCCTGTCCCAGAACAACCATGGCAAGTGGTTAGCCTGGACTTCATCACCGGGTTACCACCTACCTCCAGCGGTCATGACGCCATCCTTGTCGTCATTGACAAGTTCTCCAAAATGGGACACTTCATCCCGACACACACGACGGCACGCACCGAGGAGACAGCACAACTCTTCGTTCGTCACATCATCTCACAGCATGGCATCCCAACCACACTCATTTCTGACCGAGACCCCAAGTTCACCAGCAAGTTCTGGAAGGAACTTATGTCTCTTCTCGGCACCAAACTCGCCATGTCATCTGCATACCATCCGCAGACAGACGGACAGACCGAGCGCCTTAACCAGATTGTTGAGCAACTCCTCCGAGCAGCCTGCAAGGACGAGATCTCCAAATGGGACTTGCACCTGCCTGTTTTAGAGTTTGCCTACAACAACGCTACACACGCCGCTACGGGACAGACGCCGTTCTTCCTCTGCTACGGACGCCACCCACTCACACCACAGAAACCGACAACACCAGCAACAGTCCAACCTGCACACGACTTCATCACAACCATGCATCAGCTTTGGGATCGGACCCATAAGCGCCTCCTTGACATTCAACAGCAACAGAAGCGTCAGGCCGATCGCCATCGCAACGACCACACCATTTCCGTGGGAGACCAGGTGCTTCTCGACACCCGTAACCTGGACATCAGCCATCTCCCATCTAAACTTCGACCTCGCTTCTGCGGGCCTTTCCTCGTGGAAGCACAGGTCACCCCTGTTACCTTCCGCTTACGCCTGCCAGCTACCTGGAAGATTCACAACGCCTTCCATGTCCAACTTCTGAAGCCCTATCGGGATCCTAACACGATCTTCGTCGGACGCCAACCGCCGCCGCCGCCGCCCGTCCTCGTCCAAAATGAACCCGAATACGAGGTCGAGTCCGTGCTTGCACACCGCCGTCGTCGGAATGGTACCGTGGAGCTTCTTATTCGCTGGAAGGGTTATGATCCTTCTGAGGACAGCTGGGTCTCTGAGTCCGACATGGGTAACGCCCGTCGTCCTCTGCATGACTACCTTGTCAAGCAGGGTGTTACTTCTACCACCCAGCTTTGAGGGGGGGAAGTGTGAGAGTACGACCCCGTTACACCACTTGGCCTTTTCCCTATTTCCTTTTCCTTCCATTTCTCTCTACCGCATCTCATTTGGTTTCCTATTCTTCCTTTCCCATTAACCTTTGGTTTATCCTGCTATTATAATTATATCACCTACCAGGCATGGAATGTTCTAGACACGCTATCTAGCGTAATCCTGTCGTAATCTCTTAAAGCCAATAGCCTCGCGTGGCTATACGCATGGTGATTCTATTTTCTAGAAGGGTCTATTCCTTTAGATAGGATAAACCTGGTTACCTGATGTACTCTGGAAGTATAAAAGCGCCTTGTACTGATCGATAGTGCAATCGATCCTCGAGTCATTCGATCCTGTGACATAGACGCCTCGTGGGCGGACAACGCTGAGATGCTCACGTCCTCCCAGGGCTACTACTTTAGCCTTGGTGCAGGCGCTATCTGGTGGAGGTCCACCCACTCATCGTCTGCTGCACTGTCTAGCTGTGAGGCTGAGATCTACGCTGGTGCCATGGCGGCACATGAGCTTCGCTGGCTGACTTTCTTGCTCACAGATTTAGGTGAGCGGCCTAGCTCTGCCTCAATCCTATACGCTGACAACAAGGCCATGATCCTCCTGTGTCAGGAGTCTCGACATGAGGGTAGAGCAAAGTACATCCAATTGCGGTACATTCTCATGCACGAGCTACAGCAGCGCCGCCAGGCACACGTAGTACACTTGGCCTCCGGTGGCAACACAACCAATACCTCTACTAAGGCGTTTGTGCCTAAAGATCATCAGTGGCACTGCTTACAGCTCGGTCTAGTTCCAATAGCTCCTCACTTGCTAGGACCCTGGCTTGTGTTCTACTCCTTATATTATCTTGACTTGCCTTGTGGCTTTTGTCTGAGAGGTTGGACAAGTAGTGCCGCCATAAGTTACTCTTGCTTAGTTTGTACTCTTGGTAACTGGTCTTCGGACCCTTGGCTCAGAGGTTAGACTATTAATGCCACCCTGAGCTGCGTGTCTCTTCCTAGGCACTGCTGTCAACATATATGTTATGTATATATATATGTAGGCTAGGCTCAGACTGGTCCGTACTGTAGAGAGGACAACCCGTTTCTTGTACCCCTCTCTCTTCACGAATTCTCTCTCTTTTCTCTCGCTATTATCTCCTATTCAGCTAAACCCTCATTAAAACTTGGTATAAGAGCATGTTGATCCTTGTGGGCCTACTCCTCACGCTTCCGCAACGTATCTCCCCTCCTCTCACTTTCGTGTCACCGTGGCGGCCTCTACGTGCTGCCGTGGCAGCCTCGACGCGCTGCTGTGGCGTGCTGCCTTGTCAGCCTCGTCGTGCTACCGTGGCCTCGTCGTGCTGCCATGGCAGCTTCGATGCACCAGTGCACTAATGGCCAGCGTACTGGTTTAGCGCCAGCCACCACGTCCGCACGCCAGCCACCACGTCCGCACGCCAGCTAGCTCGCCATCCAGGGTGGCTCGCTAACTGGCATCATTGTTGAAGTCCCGTCCCCCCCTCCTTTGCATCCCCCCCCTCCCCCCCCCAAGTGCTGCTGGCTCCGCCACCGCCCGCCGCCGTCGCCGCTGCCGCTGCCCCTGCCGCTGACGTCGCTGCCTCGCTTGCCGAGGGGTCGACATGCTGTAGAATCCCGAAGCTGCTGCTGGGTATGGGGGTGTTGGGCTTGGGGGTATTGGGCTTGTGGTGTGCTTAGACTTTTTCTTGCTACTCAAGCCAGTGGACAGACTAGTAGTGCTGCCCTGATCTCTTGCCTCTATGAGTAGCACTTACCTAGCCTAGGGAGTGTTTCAACATATATATTTATGTATATGTATATGTAGGCTAGGCAGGTGCATTACTCTGAGTGGTTCTTACTGTAGAGAGGACAATCAACTTCTTGTACCTCTCTCTCTTCATTAGTTCTCTCTTTTTTCTCTCGCTATTTTCTCCTACCTAGCTAACCGCTCATTAAAACAACTGCCCCTTATCTAGCCTAGGGGGTGTGTCAATTTATACATATGTTGTATATGTAGCAATTATAGGCTAGATGGGTACGTGCTCTTAGAGAGTACAACTCCCAACCATATAGCTCCCTTGTATCCCTTTTTTGAGTTCGCTTCGTAATTCTAACACTACTACCATGGGCTACAGGTGGGATGGGATGGGTTTGAAGAAAGAGCAACTAGTAATGAAAGGAATGGAACAGAGGGAGGCAACAAGGTAGGTTCCGAGGAGGAAGGGTGGGAGGGAAGGGTGTTGGGCTGAGAATAGCCCTAGGATATTTTCAGAAGGCTAATTCCTTGTAACAGAGTGCTTGATAGCACAGCGGAAGTCTTGAGTTGAATCCTTGTACTGGTATGTGAGAACAAGTGATTGATCATAGCAAAGGGATACAAGGTTTATATAAAACTACAAGAGAATATGAAGAGTCTAACTTTTTATGCACTCCAAGGGGTACATTCCCTTTTACGACTCGATAAGACGATTCAGGTAACCACCCGTACTGTAATATCGGGACGGTTATTTGTCCTTGCTGTCGTGCTGACTGTTGACTCTTGCAATTCTGACTGTTGGGTTGCACGGTCAACGGTCTGCGACCGTTGCCCTTTCGTAACCTCTGCAAGGTGTCGTCAACCTACGTCATCCATCGGTGGTACTGTAGCAGCGTTGACTCGGTGATCCTAGTTGTTGCAGTCTTCGCGCATTCGTACATTTACGCGACACTCCTGAAATGTGTTAAAACCACAGGTTAAAATAGCTAAGGGGGGTTTCAAGTGAGCCCCTCTTGAAGGGGGTGCACTTCAATTAAAAACGGGGTCCCAGTGTGAGACAGCCCGGGCAGTTATGGGGCAGCTGGGCAGATACGCACCCTCAAATTCGCGCACCTACGAATGGTTGGGTTGGGCGAAATGTCGAAAGGGAACATGTGCGACCAGTGCCCCAAAGCCATGTGCGATGGACCCGATTTCCCGCCCAATTGACGAGATGGAATTGAAGCCGAAACAGAGGCGTGATTACGTCGGGAAGTGCAGCGTAATTCAGATCATGAAAACGGGGGAACCCGAGGTTGGGACGAAACGGAGAATACAAAGGTGCTGAAACCGGAGGTTGGTTCACAAATTGTGAACACGCTCCGTCCTCGACTTTGAAGTTGCCTCAAATTCCACACCTTATAACAAGCATATTACACAACATAACAGAAAACAAGACATAAAACCACATTACAAATCCAGCATAACTTTGGACATGTTCTCAATCACATGCTTGAAAATACAATAGATTAGCTACACTGCAGGAGAAAGGTCCGTCACATATTGCAATAAAGAATGGGTGTAAATTAGAATCCCGAGTATCAAAACACAAACTTGGCTACAAATGCCAAAATTTCAGCAATTGGCAATGTGAACAAAAGAGTCTACTGTTCCGATTGACACATCCAGGGTTAGAGGAATTACGGAAATTGTTAGATTACTTATTGGAGAAAAAATTCATCCGACCGAGCTCCTTGCCATTTGCCGCCCCCATACTGTTCATCCTGAAGAAACACGGTGGGTACCGAATGTGCATTGACTACAGAGCACTGAACCGTTTCACTATCAAGTCGCGTTACCCCATTCCACGTGTCGACGAACTGATCGACCAGCTTCGCAAAGCTATGTTCTTCTCCAAAATAAGTTTACGAGGGGGTTACATCAGATTCGAGTAGTCGCAGCTGACTGTCACAAGACAGCGTTTTGTACTAGATACGGGAGTTTCTAGTATGTAGTTATGCCCTTCGGTCTGACGAACGCCCCGGCAACGTTTCAGATGACCATGAACCAAATCTTCAGTTTGCTCGTAGATAAGTGTGTTATAGTCTACCTAGACGATATCCTGATCTACAGCGAGACCCGGGAACAGCACTTGAAGGACCTGGAAGGAGTTTTCACACTACTGCAGGAGCATCGGCTGCTCACGAAGGGTCTAAGTGCGAGTTTTAAAAATATTGCTTAGAATTTTTCATACACGTAATTTTCCGCGCTGCTGCCACAGCCATGTCATGCTGCCGTGATGGCGCCATCGTGCAGCAGTGGCGGCGTCTACGTGCCAGCGTGTGGATGGCACGGACGGCGGCTGCCAGCGCCCGGACTTAGCGCTAAGTGTTGCGAGCTCCGCCGCCGCCGCAGCTGTCGTAAGCCGTCGCCGCCACAGCTGGTGCCGCTGGACATGCCACCGCACGCCGTCGCCGCTGCTGCCGTCACCACCGTTGCAGCCGCTGCCCTCGCTGTCGACGTCGCCGCCTCACGCGCCGAGGGGTTGACCAGGCTGGAGTAGCCGTCGCTGCTGCTGAGTATGGGGGTGCTAGGCTTAGGGGGTGTGTGGCTTAGTGTGCTGTGTGTGTGGTGTGCAATCGGCTACCAAGATTAGGGGGTGTGTTAAATTATGTATTTTATATATATAATTGTAGGCTTGGTAGGTGTTACTTGTTCCTGCTATAGAGGGTACAACCCCCCTTCTTGTATCCCTCTTTCTAGTCCAACTCTTTTCTCTCTCGACATTTTCCCCTAGCCTAAAACCTCACGCCATTTCCATGGCTCCTCTTCCTAGCTAGCTACGTTTAACACCCTTATGGGCAAATAGGGCCTGGAACACTCAAATTCATTTTGCATTTTGCATAACGCATGGGCGTTATATTTTTTCGAGCCACTGTTAACACCCACATTTTTTTTTAGTGAATTTTTATATAATTTTTATATCCATTGTAGGGTGTTATACACGGGGGGTTACTGTAGCTTCTTTCAACAGATCAATCCCTCGACACATGCTCATTGCACTTCATCACACCTAGCTAAAACTTCTCGCTATTCTCATGCCTACCTAGCCGAAACCTACTTCTAATAGCTTGCAACCCTCGAGATTGCCGCGGCGTATTTCCCTGACGAGGTATGACTGCATTGTTCCGTTAGCCGATGGTTGCGTGTTGCATAATCGCAGCATTGGTTTTTTCCCGTGGGGGTAGGAGTACAACTGCAAATCAGCTTCATTATGTAAAATTATATATTTTTATATATAAGTGTAGGCTTGGTAGTTGTGCTACTTACTGAATTCCACTGTAGAGGGGACAACCCCCCTTCTTGTATCTTCTTCTCTTCTAGTCGATCACTTTCTCTCTCGATATTTATCCTTCTAAAACCTCCCGCCATTCTATGGCTCCTCTACCCACCTAGCTCATCTTAACATGGTAACAGAGCAGGTTCACCCTGCTGGACCTTCTTCTCTCTCGCTTCCGCCGCGCACTCTTCCTCTCTCTCTCTCCTCTCTCTCTCTCTCTCTCTCTCTCTCTCTCTCTCTCTCTCTCTCTCTCTCTCTCTCTCTCTCTCTCTCTCTCTCTCTCTCTCTCTCTCTATCTCTCTCTCTCTCTCTCTCTCTCTCTCTCTCTCTCTCTCTCTCTCGCTGCCATGGCGGCCGCGTCGTGCTGCTGTGGCGGCATCGTCATGCCGCCGGCCGCGTCGTGCTGCCGCGGCGGTCTTGACGCTGCTGCCGTGGCAGCCTCGTCACGCTGTCGTGGCGTCGACATCCAGCCATGGCGGCGTCATCGTGCTGTCGCGGAGGCGTCGACACACCAGCGCACGAGCGGCAACAGGCTGCGCAGCCGCATCCAGCCCGCCCGCACGCCAGTAAGCGACGGGCCAGCCATGGCGCCACGCCGACGATCCGCCCCCCACCCCTTCCCCCTTCCCCTCCTCTGCCTTTCCCTTCCTCTCCGTCGCAGGTGCTGGTGACCTCGTGACGTCCTCCCCCTCATCGTCGCAAGTTGAGCCACGCCGCCATTGCCTCGGGTGCCGCAGCTGCCGTCGCCAGGTGCCTCGACGCCGCCGCCGCCACCACAGGTGCTGCACGCCCTGCCACCGCCGCCGCTGCTGCGACCCGCCAGCGACGTCACCACCTCGATTGCCGAGGGGTCGACGGGCTGGTTGACGCCACTGCTGCTGCAGGGAATGGGGGTGCTGAGGGTGGGTGTCGAGTGACCCGCTGGGGTTACCCTTGAGAAGATCCTCGGGGAAGGGCCACAGGTGCAGAGCCTGGAGGGCTATGGGCGCACTGACCCACTATTAACAAGCCCTTTTAACTCAGTGGTTCGTGGCTGAGTTTCTGACATGGTATCAGTGCGTTGGTGACTCGGGCTCAATTCCCAGTGCTAGTGCTGCAGAGGCGCTCGTGTCTTCCACCTATCCCAGCGAGGGGGGGTGTCGAGTGACCCGCTGGGGTTACCCTTGAGAAGATCCTCGGGGAAGGGCCACAGGTGCATAGCCTGGGGGGCTATGGGCGCACTGACCCGCTATTAACAAGCCCTTTTAACTCTGTGGCTAGTGGCTGAGTTTCTGACAGTAGGATGGGCTTGCCACTACCAAGCTTAGGGGGTGTGTTAAATTGTATATTTTTATCTATAATTGTAGGCTTGGTAGTTGTGTTACTTTCTGAATTCTACTGTATAGGGGACAACCCCCCTTCTTGTATCTCCTCTTCTAGTCCATCACTTTCTCTCTCAATATTTATCCTTCTAAAACCTCTCGCCATTCTATGGCTCCTCTACCCACCTAACTTATCTTAACACATGTCTCTGACCCCCAAAAAACTCTAACTTTCAAGTGCGCCCCCCTTTGCTATTCTAGCGTGTGGTTTTAAGTTCTTGTATCATTTCCAATAAAGGGAACGAAGAAGAGTGAAACGGAGGGGTGCCAATGGTATCCTCCTCATCTTTCCACCAGTGTTCCCGTTAGCAGACAAAATCCGTCTATTCATCTGAGAATCAGACTCACATTTCCCGTGTCATCTGATTTTTTTACAACCATTATTTTTTCATCTGAACGACCATCTTGGTTATATAAATTTGTCTCGATTCTCAGACTAGGTGTAGGCAGTTGTCTGAATTTTCAGATAGTGCGTATATTTTCGTCTGATACCGACACATCTGCCCAGTTCCCCACCCTCCCACCGGCCCATGTGCGCACTGGGCCACCTGTGCCATCCGGTCCTAGGAAACCGTCGCACGCACAATAAAGTCGTCGCATGGCCTCTCATCACCGCTGTACATTCCGTATCAGATTTACAGCGGCCTGAGTCACATGCTGTTACAGATTCATCAAAATGTGCAAAACCTGGCTTGCTGGTAACTGTAAGGCATGATTTGCAGGCAGCATACCGCCAGCGCATTGCCTGCACTGTAGGGAAGCCACCCTCGGTGCCTCTCAACGCGAGATGAGTTTCGTGCTAAATCAGGCACCGTCCCATGCAAGGTGTCTAGGCGTCCTTGCGTAATGGCAGCGCAAGGCTCTTGTAGCTCCACATTTGTTCTGTCACCCTCTGGTTATAGTTTTCTACACGAGATGCCTCCCCCCTGCCTCGTTCCTCCTGTTCATCCTCTCAGCAGAGTCGCAAGGGTAGTCTTGTATGTGTTCGACAAATAGGTCTCATGGCTGCTGCCGCTGGTTCCGCAAAACTAGCGGTAGATTCCCCCGTCGAGGAGCATGTAGTAGCCTTGCTCCCCAGGCTATCAGGCATCGACCTTATTACTGGTCGTGCTACCACTGTGGCGTCGGCACCTGCAGATGCCGCATCAACTGTATCCACCCCATCGTCCCCTTTACCTCCGCTAGATACAGAACCATGGATCACATTCGCACCTGAGGGTACAGCGCCCCCCACGTTTAAGCGTCCTAGCAGCCCGTCAAGGTCTCCTAGCAGCCAGTCTGGGCCTCCTACTAGTCAGTCAGGGTGTTCTACCAGCCCGTCACCGCATGTCGCACCTATCGTTTCTGTCGGCCCGTCCGCTCGCATCTTGGGAGGGCCCGTGCTTCTTGTGCGCAAGCCTGGAAGGGTGCAATACCAGCAGCGCAAGCTTACCTTCGGTAGGCCTGCCTCATCTGCCTCCATGCCCTCCGTGCGCCTTGGCAAGCAGCGGGCTCGTACTGATCCCGCGCCGTCCGCACCGTCGGACAACAAAGGTCTGTTTCCCTTAACAGTCGCAGAGCTTCAGGCAAAGGCGGAAGAGCAGTGGCAGCGCCGTTTTCCGTGGCTCGTCATCTCCGAAACCTCCGAGGGGCGTCCGTGCATGAAGAGCACAATCTGCATGGTGCACGGTGATGACCCCGACTACCAGTACAGGCGCAATGGAGAGGGCGGGATCGATATTCAAAAGCAAACTATGCGGAAGCATCAGCACAGCCAGAAGCACAAGGCGGCGATGGCGCGCAAGCTTCAACTTGACAAGGCGAAGCAGCGGTCCATCGTGGAGTTTGAGAATGGCGAAGCGGAATCCAAGCAACAGAAGCGACTGATGGCGATCGTCCACTTCATCTGCAAGTCGGACGCCCCAGTTCTCCTCTTCATATCACTGGTGCAGTTCATGGTACAGCAAGGCACTCCAGATCTGCCAGAGAAAGAACATGGAACCTACCACAGCGAGTAAGTATTGTCAATCCTGCGGAGCGCCTTGTTTGTGCAGGGTTCTCATAAATCTTTCTGTATGCCACCGTTGTTTGTATTCCGGAGTTGGTCACGGAAAGTCTTGCTATTAAGCAGTCATTTTACCTCTTTGTGTGCAGGTATGGCTTCAACCAACTCATTGAGAACATGGTCGGCTACCTGCGCGCGAAGCAGCTGACCCACATCAAGGCGAGCCCATTTCTCGGCATCCAGCTTGACGAGAGCACCGACAGGCGGCGGGGCAAGCATATGATAGTGTATCTGACGTTCCTGCGCGATACGACGGTCGTGACTGAGTTCTTCGCTCTCCTGACGATCGAGAAGTGCGACGCCACATCGCTTCAAGCCATCCTGCTGACACACCCGGAGGGACATGGCGTCGACCTCAACCGCATATGTGGCATAAGCACTGATGGAGCGAGTGTGATGACGAGAGCCCAAAACGGGCTTGTCGCACGGCTTCGCACTCGTATTTTTCACCTCGTGTCATGCCACTGTATTGCTCATAGGTAAGTTGTGGCCCACATCAGTTTTGCCTTATGGTTTTCTCTGCCCGGATTCTGACCTGCTTCATTTGCTATGTGTGCAAGGAAGCTCTCGCTGCCAAGGATGCTGCAGTAGAGTTCCTTGACTTGGGGATGGTTGACAAAGTTGTACGATCCTTGGCCGACATTCTCGGCCGGTCGATTGTCGTCCATTCGCAGTTCAAAGAGCTGCAGGAGGTGGTCACCGAGATGAACCTCAAGATGCAAGGGATTCACAATATCCGCTGGTTGTCTCGGGGTGAGGCGATCCAGCGTCTGGTTGAGGTTTTCCCTACAGCAGTGCTTCTTCTAAGGGAGTATGATTCTACTATGTATGCGCTCGTTATAACCTTGAAGATCCATTTTCTCTTGTATTTCCTTGCTGACGTTTTGAAGGAGCTCAACGCCCTCAATCTGAAGTTCCAGCGGCGGCATGTGCGGGTACCATTTAACCGTTTTCAGCATTTTATAATTCTCTGTTTCTAATCTCGTACTCGCCCCTTCGCATGTCGACGTCACCTAGGTGCTCAGGATGGTGGACAACACCATCGTGACGCTGCGGGCTCGTTATGTCAACTACGGCACCCGCTTCGGCCCCTCAGAAGGACATTTCTTCGAATTCCTGAACCTGGTAGCTACGGGAGACGACATCACCATTAGCGGCGTGGACGCGAACGGCACCTCGACGACTCACATGTATGAGCTGCAGACTGCCGACATTGAAGGGCAACAGAAAGGCGGGAACATCGACTCGCTGCAGGGGCTGGCGACGGCGGTGGTGCTGTCCATTATCAGCAAGCTGCAGATCTGACCTGGCGTCGTTGAACGGCACGCGACTGGTCAAGCAGGGTCTCTATCCCCGGACGGCAGCAAAGCAGGAGCGAAAGTTCGTGGTGTGGCTGTAGGATCTCCGCAACCTCAGGAAGCGCGACTCCTCCGCTCCCGACACGCTGCCTGGTGATTGTCGTATTTAAGCATGCATGTGGCTCAAGTATTTCTTTGCCTTGTTCATGACGTGTAGTTACTTCAACCCTGTCTACCGTTTACTAAACACCCTCCTTTCTCCCCTGGCTCTTCTGTCCCCTATCTTGAAGGTGTCCACAGGGGGAAGGCAAAAAAGGAGCTGAATAGCTTCACCACTATCATGTCTACTCACCAGGATGACCTCGTCTTTCATGCAAGCTTGAAGAACATGCTCTCCACTCCCGACTGGAAGATGGTCTACCCGAATATCGTCAGGATTTGGATAGCAGTGGCGGTGCTACCGTTGAGCACTGTCGAGTGCGAGCGCGGCTTCAGCCACCATAACGTCATTAAGAGTTGGTTGCGCGGCAACCTGTGTGACGCAAAGCTCAGCGATCTGATGACCATGTCGCTCCTCGACTACGACATGGAGTGGGACGGCATGGTGGCAAAGTGGCGTGGGGTCAAGAAGAGGCGGCCCGCGAGGGAGGTAGTGATGGGGCAGAGATCACATTCAGCGAAGAGGCAGAAGCGGTCAGCGGCATAACTTGCAGGCAGCAAGAACAGCAGGGAAGGTAGCAGCAGCAGCAGCACGACAGGCAGAGGCACTTACAGCAGCAGAGGCGGTGCGGATGTTTGATGAGGATGGTGGAGCAGGCACTGTATGGAAGAGGAAGGGCAAGGGCAGAGCGATTTTGCTAGAGTCTGACAGTGAGGAGGATAAGCAAGGATGCAGCATTGGCAGTGAGTCAAAGTAGGGTAGGGTTAATGCTAGTTGGTTCTGTTAAATTATATATTTTGTTATATAATTGGTAGGCTTGGTAGGTGTTACTAAAACCTACTGTAGAGGGTACAACCCCCCTCCTTGTATCCCTCTCTCTTCTATTCTCGACCCCTTTTCTCTCCTCAATTTCCTAGCCTAAAACCTCTCGCCATTTCTATGGCTTTCTACCGTTCCTAGCTACCTTAGTTTAACATGGTATCAGAGTAGGCCCCTTTCGCTCGGGCCTTCTCCTCACGCTTCCACAGCGTACTCTCCCCTCCCCCCCCCTTCCGTCATGCCGCGCTGGCCCTGTCATGCCGCGCTGGCCCCGTCACTCCGCGCTGGCCCCGTCACGCCGCACTGGACTCGTCACGCCGCGCCGGGCCCGTCCCTCCGCGCTGGCCCCGTCACTCCGCGCCGGCCCCGTCACGTCGCCGTGCCTCAGTGCCGCTGTGTTGCCGTCCTGCCATGCCACCATGCCACGGTGCCGCCGCGCCGATGTGCCGCTGGGTCGCCGTGCTACCGTGGCGGCTTCGCCACGCCAGCATACGGATAGCGGCGGCCAGCGCCCTGTCCTAGGCGCCAGTCGTAACGCCCTCACGCCAGTAAGCGTCGCGCCAGCCATGGTGCGTCGCTGAAGATTCCCCTCGACCCCCCCCCCCCCCCCCCCCCCCCCCCCCCCCCCCCCCCCCCCCCCCCCCCCCCCCCCCCCCCCCCCCCCCCCCCCCCCCCTTCTTCCCCCTCGCCAAGGAGATTGGCCATGCCACTGAGAGGGCAGGGGCCGCTGCACTCGCCTCTGACGTTGAAGCCGCCGCCGCCGTCGCTCTCGTCACTGCCGCGACTGCCGCCATTGCCATCTCCCGAGCCGTGGGTGTTGACCGATTCCGGAGTCATCGCGACTGCTGCTGGGAAAGGGCGGGCTAGGTTAGGGGGTGTGGGTGTGTGTGGGCTTGTTACTACCAAGCCTAAGGGGTGTGTTAAATTATATATTTTGTTATATAATTGGTAGGCTTGGTAGGTGTTACTGAAACCTACTGCAGAGGGTACAACCCCCCTCCTTGTATCCCTCTCTCTTCTATTCTCGACCCCTTTTCTCTCCTCAATTTTCCTAGCCTAAAACCTCTCGCCATTTCTATGGCTTCCTACCGTTCCTAGCTACCTTAGTTTAACAGGTTCTGCAGCGGTATTGGTGTCAAACATACAACCATATATTGTTTGTTACAGTAGACTATATAGGGTTTCTCCTTAGGGAGTATAACCCATTAGGTTATATTCCCTTGTATGCCTTCTTCTAGACTTTCTTTCACTTGAACATGGTATCATGAGTAGGTAGGTCCCCCCCCCCCCCAGCGCTTCCGCCCTAGGTCCTAGCCGCCTCGTCGCCCCGCGGCCCCATCACCTCGCTGCCACGCGGCCCCGTCACCTCGCCCCCCCCCCCCCAGCCGGCCCCGCCTCTTTGCCGGCCCCGTCACCTTGCCGCCCGCAGCCCCGTCTTCTAGACGCCTCGCCACCGTCCTCGGCCCCTCTGCACCACGTTGCACTGGCCGGCACCGCTCTGAACCGCACTACACTGTATGTCACCGCACTGCACCGCACTGCACCACCTTGCATCGCACTGCACTGCACCCTACCGTACTGCACCTCCCTTCACCGCACAATACCGCACTGCACCGCACATCACCACTTTCCGCCGTGCTCTCCTGCCCAGTACTGTCTTTCTCCTACTGCTGCAACCATGATGGCGGACCCGGTCCTGCATTTTGATGCTGAGGGGCAGCCGATTGAGTTCGACTCGAGGCTCGTCGACCTCCAGCAACACCTGACTGGTCAGCGGCAAGACGGCCACTCCCTGGCCATCCACATCGACGGTACGCTCCCCTGCCCAGACCCCCCTGCTGCCCTCCCCGCTGACCCCACCTCTGCTGGCCGTGAGTCCGCTGCAGCTGCTGCCCTTACCCGTACATTCTGGTTGTCGTGTGACGCTGTCGCACAGCTTGCGATTAGTCATGCCCTTCCCCTGTCCGAGCGCCCCCACTTTAGGTCCGTCAGGACTGCGCAGGAGTTCCTAGAGGCTGTTGTTGCGCGCTATTCCACCCCGCCCTCTGCCTCTGTAGGTCGCCTGATCCTGCCCATGCTCTTTCCTGACCTTGCGTCTTTCCCTACTGTCGCTGACCTAGCCGCCCACCTGCGCACGCTAGACACGACCTGGCACGCTGCCTGCACTGAGGCTCAGCTTCGTGTGTTTCAGCCCCCCATATGCTCTACCCTCTACCTGCTTGCCACCCGCCTCCCTGACTGCCTTGCCACCGCCCGCGATCACTTCCTTAGTCTCCACCCCTCTGACCTCACCCTCACTAACTTTGTCGACACCCTGTCTGCCATAGAGACCCGTCATCGCTCTATCGCCTAGTCTAGCGGTACCATGCCAGTCTCTATCTTTCAGGGCTGTGCCCCTACTCAGTGCTCTTACTCCGACGGTTCTGCTGCAGTTGCTGAGACAGCTTCGGATGTGGAGACAGCCACCGCCGTGCAGTTTCGTCTGGGTAAGGGTCGCCGCCCCAAGGCTGGGCGCGGCGGAAATAGGGGAGGAGGGGGTGGTGTCGGTGGTGGAGGTGGCTCTGCCACTTGTAGTACTGACGAGGGGGCTAGGGCTGGTGCCCTGGAGCAGCAGCCCTAGCAGCAGCAGCAGCAGCAGGCTTCGCAGCTGGACCAGCAGCAGCAGCAGCAGGTGCAGCAGCATCAGCAGCAGCGGAGGGTCGGACGTCTCCCGCCCGGGTGGCCTAGCTGGAGGTGACAGTGGTCGCAGTGGTCGCTCGCGCGGCGTGTCATCGGGTGGTAGTCAGAGTGACGGGCGCTGCCTGTACTAGCTCCGCTTCGGCCCATCGCCTGGCACAGTCTGCTCCGTCGTCGTGTTCAGATCTTTGATATGGACATGGATGAGATTAGCTGTGCTTTGTATGTTGATGTCTCTATTGTGATTGGTTCATACTATCATGTGTTGCCTAGCGTAGGTGTGCCCAGTGTGCCTAGTTCAGGCTCCCCTACTGCGTCAGGCGTAGGATCCCCTGCCTTGTTTGGCCTAGGGTCCTCCCTCGCTCCTCCGACCTCTGTCGCCGCTACCGCGCTCTCCTTCAACCTGGACTCCGGCGCTTCCCCGTGTTTCTTTTGTGACTCCATGACGCTTATGCCGCTTGCCGCTCCTGCTGCAGTTGCTCTTGCAGACCCTTCCTCTGGTCCTGTAGTTGCCCGTAGCCCCACTACTCTTACCTGTCTGACGGTTCCCTCTGGCTCCCTTACAGGCCTGCACATCCCCTCGTTCTCTAGGAACCTAATTGGTGTCGGCTGCCATCAGGACCTTGGCGTCACCACTACGTTCCCTAGGAACGAGCGGTACGCTGTCTGTACTAAGGCCGCCATTGGTGCCCCCCTCACCATGTTCCCCCGGGACCCGGTATCTGGCCTGTTCACGCTGGACACTGCTTCCCCCCTGGTTGGGATGCCTCCCCAGGTACCTACGTCTTCCCAGGTTGGTGCAACATGCTCATGTCGGTCGCTTACTCACCCGTCACTTCTGTGGCACCACCGTTTAGATCACCCCGCCCTCACCCATCTCCGTCACATGTCCCAGCACCGTCTTGTCCTAGGCCTCCCAGAGTCGTTCCCTGTGCTCCCCTCCTCACCCGCGCCTCCGTGCACGCCCTGTGTCGAGGGCCGGCTCCGTCGTGCCCCTCACTCCTCCTCGTTCCCCCCTACTTTCGCACCGCTGCAGACCCTGCACATGGACGTCTGGGGCCTTGCCCCCGTCCATGGGCCACATCACGAGCGGTACTTCCTAGTGCTTGTCGACGACTACACCCGCTACACCACCGTCTTTCCCCTTGAGTGAAAGGCCGACGTGCCTGACGTTCTTCTCCCGTGGCTTGTCTCTGCGCGTGTTCACCGAGGTCTCCCTATCTTGCGTCTTCACTCCGACCGTGGTGGCGAGTTTGCCTCTGGCTGCCTTGGTCGCTTCTGTCGTGCGGAGGGCATCACCCAAACGCTCACCCTTCCGGACTCCCCGCAACAGAATGGGGTCGTTGAGCGATGCATCGGTTTGATCATGGAGGTTGCTTGTACCTCCATGATCCATGCCGATGCACCCCATTTTCTGTGGTCGTTCGTCGTTCGCTACGCCACTTACCAGCTTAACCTCTGGACGCACCCTCAGCGGTTGCAGGTTTCGCCGACCCTCCTCTGGACCGGGTCCCCTGGTGACTCGTCTGCGTTCCACATCTGGGGCAGCCTTGCTCACATTCGTGCCTTTGGCACGGACAAGCTCACTGCCCGCACTGTCCCCTGTGTCTTCCTAGGTTTCCCCCTCAACTCGTCGGACTGGCAGTTCTACCACCCGCCTTCTCACCCGTTCTTTCACTCTCGTGACATCACTTTTGACGAGTCTGTCTCCTTCTACCACCGCTTTCCCCACCGTGGTCCCCCGGTCACTCCCCCCCAGTTCCTGGTGCCCCCCCCTCCCCCGGTCAACCCTGTCCACCCCCCTCCCCGCCCTGCCCCGTTTGTTGTGTCTCACGTCACCCCCCTCCTGTCGGTTGTCCCTGCTGAGGAGTCCGCTGACTCTCGTGGCTCGACGGCGTCTCTTCCGCCACCTGTCCCTGCCCCGGTCTCGCCTCCCTTGTCACCGCCGCTGCTGTCCCCGCCGCTGTCGTCGCAGCCGCAGCCGCCGTCGTCACCGCCGCTGGGGTTTGTGCATTCTAGGGGTGCTGGGGAGCGGGCTAGAGCTGGTTCTGGAGTGGGCTCTGGGGGTGCTGGTAGGGGCTTCTCGGAGGGAGCGATGTTGTCGCTCAAGGTTCTGGTGTTGGAGCTGGGCAGCAGTCGCAGCTATCGCCGCCAGTGTCCGCTCTTCGCCTCCTTGGTCTCCCTTCCCCTGACCGCCCGTCGCTGCCTCCCCCGCTGCCACCGCCTCCTCCTCTGCCGGTCCAAGGCCCCGTGTTTCCTCCCCCGGACTCCTCCCCAGCTCGTTTCCCTCCCCGTTCTCCTCCTGTATCTCCTCCCCTCTTTCCTCACCCGACTCCTCCGTCTCACGTCTGGTCTCGATATCCGTCTCGTGCTCGTCCTACCTCCCATGTTCCGCGTTCTCACCCTATGTTGCTTCGCTCTCACGTGCCTCGTGCTCCTCCTCTCCTCCCGTCTCCTCCTTCGTCGTCGCTTGCTGTGGCCCCGCCTCCATTCTTGGACTTCCTCCGTGTTGCGCATCCCCTTGTTCCTCGTGTCCTTGCCTCTCTCGTTACCGACCCGTCGGTTCCTGTCTCGAGTCTGTCGGCTCTTGTCACTACTGTCACTGACTTCGCCGCTACCCACCGTCTGGACTACGCCACCGCCCTGGTCTCTGACCGAGCCTGCCCTCTGACCGTTGGGGGTGTGGCTGCTCTTGGCAGCGACGTCCTAGAGGACAGGCAGTTCGAGCTTGCTTTCCTGTCTGGGGTCGCTCCCATCTCTGCTCCATGCTACTAGTCCCTGAGGGTGACCCAGACGCCCTCGACATCCCGACCCCTCGCACCTACGCTGTAGCCACCTCGGGACCCTGGGCCTCTCAATGGATAGCTGCCATGGAGCAGGAGATGGCATCTTGGAGATCCACCGGTACCTTCGTCGACGTAGTTCCCCCACCTGGGTGAATGTTGTCGATGGCTGGTGGCTCTTCAAGATGAAGCGCCCTCCTGGAGAGCCGCCTGTCTTCAAGGCATGCTACGTCACTCGAGGCTTCTGTCA